GAATGATTCTGCACATATCCTCCTAGAAAAGCTGTCATTTCATTAGAAATCTCAGATAATTACATAGGTGGCATTTCCACTCAATATTATGAACAACGTGACATGTTGATCTTTATTGACAACATCTGCCTATGCAATTTTATAAGAATAAAGCCCCTAAATAGCTAACTACTTGTAATATTAGGCCTGTACTCAAACAAATATATTGTAAATTGTGCACTATTTTAGGAAAATCAGGTTTCAAACTCAAAACAACTGCTTTAAGCTCCAAGTGGAAAGCTTTGGATGACGATTTGTAGCAATTTTGCCCTAAAATATAAATACCTGGTCAAATTAAATTGGTTGTGTCATGGTGTGCTATATTTGTTCAGACTGTAGCTCAGAAGAATCTCATTTGATCTACTCCTCAAAATATTTTTAGGACATGAGGATCAGTAACATGGACCTATGGAAGATTGTATATAAGGCCTCTTTAACTCCCAATATAACTAGAAGAAAAATGCACTATATTAATTTCAGCATTTGTAAATGGTTGTAATTCATTCTTCAAACTATTATTTCTATCTCAAATGCTGGAGAAAATGAGCCATCTCTAGTCCTAGGCTGTATGAGAGCTCTGAGCCTGTTTTTGTGGCTCCTGATATCCTTCTTCACTGTAAATACCCAAAATCAGTAGTTCAGCTTCTCGCTGTTTTGAGGCAGGATATATACAAAGCTATAGCATATGCCCTAAAATAGATTTAATACAGTTAAACTTGCTAAACAATCCCAAGACAAAATCCTTGCCCCACCCACATGCATAAACGCTTCCCAAATTTGGCATCATTTCCCTGTTCACTGCAGGTCTCAGCCCTCTTCACTAATAATACTGAGGAGAGGTGAGAATAGAGGCTATTTTGAAAATATAGCTTATTTTTTCTTGCAGACAGAAAATTTTTGCACATCTATCATTTTCTTGTGCGTGTGTGTGTGTGTGCGTGTGTGTGTGTGTGTGCAGAAGCAAGTAATTGAGTCAGGATGGAGAAAGGCATGTGAATCCCTCTTGAGAAAGCAAACTTAGAGATCACAGAGATTTTTATTTTTTATCTCAGTAAAGATTTCAGTAAGGAGGTGATTAGTATCGGTGGAGAACAGCTCTCGCTCCTATTTCTGGAGGATCAATTCCACGCCTGCTTATTAATGCAAAGCTGACCTCTGTAGCTTGTACCTCCTTCTTCAGTTTTCTTGCTTTACATTGTAATTTGGTGAACAGCAGCTTCCATCAGAACTTTGAAGGAGAAAGTCCTTTATCAGGAGAAACAAGAAACTGCTCCAGTCTCAATAATCATAAGCTGTAAATCTCTATGGGGATAATTAGTGCTTATCCTTTCAGCTTTCTTCTCCATTGGTATCTATCCTTCACATCATTGAAGCCGTCACCATTGTTACTTAATGGACATTTGGGGGCACCAAAGCTGGAATGATGTATGGTGAGGGTAGAGAGCATCCTGCAATGGTTCCCTTGTTAAGCTTTTATCAACAAGGCATGAAGAAGGAGACTATTTGTACAAAGACCTTCTAAGAGATGGGGTAGGTACAATAAATACTGATATAAGAAGTCTAGTCTGGTTGTTTTCACTGAGCAAGTAACATTATCAGCCCACCTACAGCACTTTTATAAGCTTGCTCTATTGGAATGTTATCCTTCATGGTTTATCCCACTTAATAAAGCTGATGGTTCATATGTTTTGGAATGGGGGGAAAATACTTTTCCCTCCTTTGATTGACAGTTTATCCAGCACTGATGATGGTCTAGAAAAAGGAAAAACAATTTTATCCTATAAGGGATGAAAGGCTATTTAGGATACGGTCAACCAAAATTCATGTTGGAATCATGCCATCATTGGGAAATAACATAGTTTCACCCAGGCTTTTCCACTTAAAGAATATTGGCCTGCTGTATCTAGGGCAGGGTTCCTCAGCCTTGGTGACTTGAAGATCTGTGGACCTCAACCTCCC